TTAAAACTCGCATTTTTATGAAAAGTTGGGTGCAATAAATCAAGTATTGCAAAAATGGTCAAGAGCATGCTTCGTTTCATGCATAATGGAAGTACTGTGGCAACACCTGTTATTTCTGTATATCTGTAACAACAGGCAGATGCTAGCCTCCTCTATAATTGTTATGAAATAAGTGAAAATGCATCCTTATTTCACTGTTCATTCCGTGGGTAATTCAAAACGAAATCTGATTGACTTAGAAATTTGGTGCAAGCCTATGTTGTCTTGAAGAAGTATGGGTTTTGTGGATCATTCATGAATGCCACTCCCAAATCAATTTTCGCGACGACGATGGCAACGTAGCAGTTGTTGCGTGAATTTTCCTACAAGTTTTTATTTATTGCGCAGCGTTTTCTTGAAATAACTTGCCTGTTAATAATTTCATCAATCCAATACTTTGCGAAACACATGATTCCAAAGTTATCCTTTATGTTTGCTGCCATCACATTAAGCTGCTTAGCGTAATATGATAAGCGGCTATAATGTAAGCTTTCTAAGTTGTTTGTTTGTCATTTAACGCTGTCTTTAATCAATCGATGTTGTTTAATGACAGAACTTTCGAATTTACTTATCCTTATCAGGAAACTGCTTCCATTCTGTAAGCTATTCTTTATCGAAGCAAAATAGAAGCATATGTAAGTAGCCGCGTTTTAAAATCTATTCGGCTTGTCACTATTATAATGCAAATGACTGTGAGTTTTTACTTGCACGACTATTGCTGGCACATGCAACCTGCCGGAATACCTTGCAGCAGACTTCTCACGGCCTCACATCACTGTAGATCAGCTGGAACGCCAACTGCTTATGACATTTTCGATCGGCTGCGCGGCAGCAGCAGTTCCAGTAACCTCCGCTGCAACGACGTGAGATGAAATAATAGACTTGCAAACGCTAGCGGTGGTCGTCGACGTCAGCCGCACATTGGCGAATTAGCTTTTTCCTCTGTGATAAACGTGATTTTTAATTCCCACCCATTTTAGATTGAATTGTTCTTCGTCGTCGACGTCGATGCTGCGCGCTTGCAGTAATCTCGACAACGGCAACAGTAAAAGTTTTGCAGATAAGATCAAGCGACGAAGAACAAGTTTTTCATGTTCAATTTATTTCAAGCAGTGTGTCTTTGTACTGGTTTTATTCTGCCGTCCTTCGATAGTCGTCAGATGCA